CATAAAGATCAATCCATTGCTATTTGGAACTATCACGCTTAGCGTGACTATGGTCACATCTATTGTTTAAACCTTGTAAAAGTTTAAATGGTGCTCAATGATGACATTCACGCTTTTTTTCCAACACCTCTAGTGATGGAAGAACCATTTCCTAAATGGTCTCTCTCGCACTTAACATCATTGAGATAGAGAGTCATAAGGCTCCAAAGGATTTTGGTGCCCAATGCCATCATCCTCATGCTAGTTGAGATGACAATTTAGTGCCATTTATAAAAATCACAAAACTTCCCTCTTCCCAAGTTTTTCTCATCCACACTAATCCAATTGACTCGTATGCAATTTTAAGCATGATCTAAATGTTATAACTCATCCTCAATTCAATTATTAAATCAAATTAGTTACTATCCCGTTCTATTTGATTTTAGGGTTCCTGATAATTCTCACATTTACCCCTAATTCTATTCAATAGTATTTGAAACCAATCCTTCAATACTAAGCCACACAACACAGGAACTCAACATAGGTTCAATTAATTATTTTCAATCAAGTCACAAGAACATATAATAAAACTAATATCACATTACAAACTTCAAGGTATTCATAATGCATTTCAAGAAAATCACTCAATACAAATAGTGGGGTTGAGAGACAACTTCGCTACCCATGGTTACTCCACACCAATGAGTAGGATAGTCTCACTCCACCCTTATTTGAAAAAAGCTTTGAAAATGGAAAGGGTGCGAGAGTGTGGCTCTCTCCTTCGAATTTGAGATCTTCTCCATGGGGTTATGACAAGACAACACGTTCTAGCAAATAATAATGAAGAGAGTATCAAGTTAATCCTATAATAATTTTTGCTAGATAGATTAAGAGTAATTGGGCTCCGAAGACTAGCCCAATAGTTAAAAATGTTTTCTTTTTAAAATCCAACCCAATATCTTAACTCTCATTGTTTTTAGAAAGCCTTTATAATTAATCACTAAAACCACAATTAATCACTTTTTATTTTCTAAAAAAATTATTTAATTAAATCATTTATTTATTTTATTTTTTGAAAATTGGTGTTACAAGGAACATGTGGCTTATGCCTTGTGTCTTATTTGTGGACATGTACTTATTAGTAATTGATTGTTGGATGATATAGATGATGCATTGAATGAAGACATGGACTTGTATGCGGTCATGTATAGATGTGGATGTTTGCATTATGACATGATGGTGAATGGATGAGAATATTGTTTGATCTTATAAGAAAGTTGATTAAAGATGTATAATTATGTGGAGGATTTGGAGGAATGGCATTCGTTGTTGTTTTGAAAATGTTTTGAGGATGGTTTAATCTAGAATTAATTGACTTCAAACCAAAGTGTTCTTAGTTAGGAGATGACAATATAATAGATCTCGGTTGATGGAGCCTTGGGGTTTAGCAAATACTTCATTGAGAGATCAAGTTTTAATGAATTTGAATATGTGAACTATGTAGGAGATCTTTGAGTAGAGTGTGCATGACGATGCATAATGCATGTGGCACATGATATGGTGTGTGCAATTGCATAATGTGGTGTAAATTGATGTGTATGTGTTCTCTAGTGTATAAATGTGTTGTGTGGTGTGAGAGCTTGGGACTTAGTGTTTATGAATTATTTAAATTCACATGATGCACATTTCCATTTATATTATTTCTTATGAAATCAAGCTTACCTTTTTGTTGTGTGTTTGACTATGATGATCATGTTTTGACATGAGAACAAACCTAGATTAACATTATGGAGGTGGCTCTGAGCTACGTGAGGACCACTAGGGGATAGTTGAATATATAAATGTTGATTTCTTGGATTTATATAGTGTATAGACTGAAAATATGATGATTTTTTCTTTTGTCTTATGTATATATATTCAAAGATGTTGTACCTTTATAACGGGATTTGTTTTGTGATGATTAGGAATTTGTTCATGTTTTGATCAACAACATGCATTGATTGATCCCTAAGATCCCTATATCTCTCTGTGCGTGTGTGTGCTTGATGCCTAAGTTTTGCTCATGCATGGAAATTATAGGATACATGACTTATCCTTATTATATGTTGCGAGTTGTTTCTGTGTGATGACCTATTGAGTCATTACAACCAGAAACTAACTAACAACCCAATTTTTTAATTCAAAGGATGAGTTGGTACCCCTATATTTTATTAAGGTTTTAATATTGACATATTAAATGTTTTTTTAATGATCTATGTATAAGCTCTTTTGTATATCACATATTAAATATCATCTAAACAACACAAAACTCATTAAACTGTATTAAAAATTGTGTCAAATAAATCGATATTGCTATGATCTTATGCTCTCTACAGGTATAATGAAAAAGAGTAACCTTGGGATCATCAAATATGAGTGAAGACTTGATATTCTCTCTCATTGGGGGCCTTATTCATTGAAAGACAAAATTTGGCACTTTTTGAATGCAAAAGGCACCTACTTTGCAACTTTATCCACCTAACACCAAAGAAGTTGTTTTCAACTAAAGATAAGGGCTATAAGCACTCCTTACTATCACACAGGATATGCCTTGATAAGGAAGTGCATTTAATGCAAGTCATAAAGTGTTATATTAACAACTTCAAACATTTTTCTTCATATTAAGATGAAGCTGAAGAAACAATAGATGAAAGAGGAAGACAAAAAGCTCCAACGACTACTTGCTCCCAAGGAACTATATATAAAATAGGACACTCTAGAAGAGACATGAAATGAAGTTTTATTATAACACATACATAATCTCTTTATTTTGCACCTACTTTGTGATATATGTTTCATTATATTTATCTCTTGTAACTTCTTTCTTTTTGTTTTGTGAAGTCTAAAAAATCTTGTTGCTAAAAGAGTATTTTGATTATTGAAGCTTAAAGGGGCTTTGAGTTAAAGAATACTTGGGTGTGCTTTATTAAGCTAGAAATGACTTGAGAAATAATATTTGTTATAAACAGAGTTGTTGTGGAACTTGATGTGTTGATCAATAACTAAATATAGTCTTAGTGATGTAGATGAATCAATATAAACTTCTTGGTAGTGATCTCTTTCTTTCCCTTAAACTCTTGAGTTTACTATGCCTACTTGATATCATTTTTCAACCATTTGTCGTCTTCACTTGCTAAAAATATTTTGGTGGTGAAAAAATTTGAGACACTATTTAACCCCTTTCTAATGTCCCTTTTCCCTTACACAATTAAATATTTCTAACTTGAGAAAGATCATATAGTTTCAAGAATAACTTTAAAAGAATTATTGTTGATCTTTACCTTTTATTTTTTTTCTTCAATCTAACAATCAAATATAAGTTACTCATCAAAACTATTAGATTTATAAGAAGAAAAATATATAAGGTGAGAATCAAGAGTAACTCTTTTAAACTTATTATTGTAGTAACTTCAAAAGAGTTACTCTTCCCATCCGTTATTTACTTTCAATATAATAATCAAAACTAAGTTACTTGTTAAAGTTATTAGAATAAAAAAAATATAGGGAAGAGATCGAAAATTGAAATAACTTGATTTCTAATATTTTTAATTATTGAAAAAACACAAGTTGGGGAGTTAGAAAGGTCAAAGTCAACTTCCCGATAATGTTGTGAAAATTTTAGTAATTATTTTTCTTAAAATAACAATTGTTGTTTGCATTCCTCTATTTAAAATATGGAAAAAAGTGGAAAAAATATTTTTATTAAAATTTGATTAACTTAATTGTAAAGATTTTTCTTTCATTTTCACCAAAAATATCTTTCAATTGATAAAAGATTAATTTTATTTGAGGTATAGGAATCACCAAAGTAGGTTTTTTCTCTCACAAACCCTTTTCACCAATGTTTATTTACGAATGAGAATCAAACTTTTGTCACTATGTATGTTTAGAGAATTCAATCCCTCTATATATAGAAATTAGATTAGCTATATTACATGAGAGTGTTTCTAGATATCAATATTTTACCTATAGTACTTTTACAACTATTTTTTAACAATAATAATTTTAGTAATTATTTTTGACGATAGTGTTTTTAGTTGATTTTCTTCCATAAAAGTGTTTTTAGATTTTTCTTTTCAACCTTTTCTCTCTTTTAATTAATTTTTTTTATTATTTTATTTTATATTTATATTGAATTTCAATATATGTATTTTTTTTTTAAATTTTTCAATAATTAGAATAACTTTTTATTACTATATAAATTATTTATTATAAGTTTAAAATATAATTTATACATTAAAAATATTTATTTATTAAATTTTTTAATTATAATATAATTTATACTACTAAAAATATTTATTTATTACAAATTATAATTATATAAAATAAATATTTATCTTGTGCAAACTAAAATATTGGTTATGTATCAATTGTATTGAACCTTTTTAAGTAATTGTGAAGAATTTAAATAGAAAATAAAAAAATAATTTCATATAAAGTGAAATTGGTAAAAAAAAAATTAATGATAACAATAAAAAGAAAACAATCATTTAAAATTTATTAAAAAAATTATATATTAATTACAATACAGAAACTAAAAGTAAAATTAAATGAATTTAATGGACATGCACTATTAATATATATTTTTCAATATCAATCAATTCAAAGTAATTTATTGCATAATTTGTAAAATAACTTTTATTAAAATTAATAAATTTATTATACATGATAATTTATGATTAAATAACAATATAAAAATAGTTTTATACTATCTTGACATATCTTATTTTCTCCCATTGAATACTTCATTTTGTAAAGAATAAAAGTCTCTACTAAAATAAACCACATAAATAGAAAACATCAAAGTAAAACAATAATTATAATCATTGTATAGTTTGATTTACATTTCATTTTTTCCATGTAAAATTTTGCTTGTGAAAATAATAATAATAAGCAAATTTCTTTTCTTATTATCTGTCTTGCATACTTTTACTCTAATTCACCCAAGATGAGGTGTCCTGAAACAATATATTAGGTAAGCAAGAAGAAGAATGTGGGATCTAGCATAGGTATTTCCACCTCCCCCTCAAAACAAAGCAGTCCAAAGTCTCAAGTTCCAATTCAAAACTGGAAATCAAAATTTCTAAGTGTCCATTTCCTTTCTTCAATGTCTCATCTTCCCTCCCAATCACCATTTCCAATGCTCCTTCCAATCTAAACCCTACTCAACACCACCAACAACAAACATTACAATGAACTCTCTCTTCTCACCTGAAAACCTCCCCCCACCGCCGGGAATCCCAATCCCCGCCACAATCGCCGGCTCCGCCGCGGCCCCAACACCAATACTAATCCCAAAGCTCGAACCTTTGGACGAATGGCTCAACACCCAACAACCTCAGGAACCCAATTTTTCAAACGGGTCCCTCGACCTCAACCTCTTGTGCGACGAAACCCCCGAAGACCCCACCACCAACAACTTGTACACCGAGTTCAACCGAATCTCCCACCTCTTCCACACCGCCTTCTCCAGCGGCCTCCAAAGCGACGCCGTTTCTGACCCCTTCTCCCAAAACTCCGCCGTTCCGGACCCCTCCGCCCTGCACCACCGCCAACCAAACGGCACCGCCGTCCCGGACCCGGATTCGCGGGCAATCGTGCCGGTCCCGGAGGAGGACGGCCCCTCTTCTTCCGCGGCGGGGGCGACCGCCACCACGCCGAGGCGCCGCTGCAAGGAGCTTGTTCGTGTGACGGATCTCGGCGGGGCGGAGCATCTCCACTTCCGCGACGTGGTCCGCCGCACGAGGATGGTGTACGACTCCCTGCGCGTGCTGGCCACGGTGGAGGACGAGCGGCGGGGGGGGGGCCGCCGCCGCGGGGCCCGCCCGC